ATAAGTAATCATAAAGGATACGAACTACTGCTCCAATTATGTATATAGCCTTCTACCTTAAAAATGTCCAATTAAATACCAAGCTTGCTTCTTTCTAAGCCCTACTCTACTAACAAGATACTTTTAATGTACAAAGCATGCTGCAAATATTTAAGTGCTACATAAATGCTAGCCATTACTACTTCTTGTGGCAGAATATTATTCCATTACATTATGTTATCATAATGCATACTATGATTTGTTTAGACATTTCTCAATTGATGGGCATCCCTTTAGAATATAGTTCTTTGCTTTCTCTCTTTTAATTCATTTTTTCAGGACCAGGGATTTTGTTCTGCTTGCAAGTATTGCCTCTTCAGTACCAAATTCTCTTACCTGCCCCACCCTCTCTTTTTATCCTTATTTCACTCTTTAGTATAAACTCTGTGCATGTGTTCGATGCTCCTTTGACAGTTTCATAACAGTGATGTTCATCTGATGCCCTCTCATCTCAACCCTTCCTCCATGTTTGCATACTTTTCCTCAGATGCTCCAATTATGAGAAATTCCTTTCCCCTCTGCCATGTTTTCTTTCCCCTCTTAAAACCTTAAGAACAGAATCAATCCACCCACAGGTCCCCTGTTTTTCTAACTTAACTCCCTCAAAATCCTTTGAAGACATTAATAGACTAAAGGGACACTTGTTTCATCTCCTTTATTAGAATGCTAGCATTACATAATCATACTAGTTCTTTCAATTTCCCTAGGTTTCTCTGAGCTCTGGAGTTTGAACTTTGAAATTCAAGGTTCTTACCCAGCTCTGGTATTTTTATCAGAAACAGGAAAGTTTTCTACTCCATTAACAATCCGTTTTTTCCCAATTGGATAATATTCAGGTTTTCAGAGTATTAATCTTAATAGTATGAATCAATGAAGAAAGTATTAAGTCATTACTATGTAAAAAAAATACTGTTAAAAGCATTGAGGATATAAATAGAAAAGTAAGACAATCCCTGCTCTCAAGAGGCTCACATTCTATTCCACTAAAGGTCCATTTTTTTCTCCTGTAGATTTTTTTTTCAGTCATGTCTGACTCTTCATGACTCCATTTGGGGTTTTCTTGGCAAAGATACTGGATTGGTTTGTCATTTCCTTCATTTTACAGGGGAACTGAGGCAAACAGGATAAGTGACTTCACCAGGGTAACACAGCTAGTAAGTGTCTGAAGCCAGATTTGAACTCAGAAAGATGAGTTCCTGACTTCGGGCCCAGCACTCTATCCATCGCACCACCTAGCTGCCCCTAAAATTAGAGGGTAACTTATTCTTGGTTGTAAGAGTGTATGTTTTGCCTTTTGGAATACTGTATTCTAAGATCTCTCATTTAAAGTAGAAGTAGCTTCATATTCAAAAAGTCTTCGACTGGAAGTCCCCCTTAGATTCTTTTCAACTGGGAAGGATGTTTCTAGCGGCATATCATGGTGCTCTATCTACTTCAACAATTTTATCAATGACTTACATGAAAGTATGCTTTATCAAATTCGCCTCTAAGAAGAGGCAGATTTTGGCTCAATACAAGAAAAAAAATGTTCAACAAATTAGTTTTCTAAAAATAGTGTTGAACACCTCATTCAATTACAGATTTCTCTATCACAGAAGGACTTCAGGCAGATGATGGGTGAGTATTAGAGGGAGGTTTTAACTCAGGTACAATGACCTTCTGAAATCCCTATCAACTCTGAGATTACATTATTCTCTCCCAATATATTTTATCCTCTGCCATTAATACAGATTCAGACAATTTGCACGTAAGTTCCCACCAATAGGAAATACTCCTAAGTGATTAGGAGATTAAACTCAGTCTGGGAGAATCAGACATGCAACTTTTAGCGACGGTAAGGTGCCCTGCAAATTCAGACTAAGTGCACTTTTTTAATAAGCTTTGGGTCCACGATTTTGATCCAGAACCCCAAAGCTGAGGAAGTTTACTGGTGCATTACATAGCTGATCAATTCTTTTTGCTGTCATTGACTCCCCCAAAGATAGGGGATTTGACAAACCTACGTCAACACCGAATGCTACGCAGACTTACAAACGTCATCACGGACTATGACGTTTGAGCCTTACAACCAGCCTCGGCGGGAGGCGGTATCGCTATCCACATTTGACACGAGGGAACTGAGGCAAACAGAGGTTAGCTGGTTTGTCCAGAGTGACACAGCTACGGAGAGAGGCTGGATTTGAACATTACTTGCACTTGTCAAGTCCGGGTCCTACACTCTACCCGCTGTACCACCTAGCTGCCTCTTGGAACATCTCATAAATACTATTTTTCAATCCCGAAAAAAAAAAAAAAACTACTTTCAATTCCATCAATGAGGACTTTGGAAACAGTTTTGAGAATTTTTAAGTTGCCTTTTTTTAACCACCTGCATAATGTATCTCAATTTTTTGTTACAACTACAAATTCATAAATCAACAAACTACTAAGAATTGTTTTATTCTTCTTTTCATAGCCACCTCAGATATGCATACAAAAACACAGGAGAACTTTAATGTTTTGAAGAATTAAAAAAATTTTGGAGAATTAAAAAAAACATTTCATGACTGGTAATATAGATTGGAAAGTGCTTCAGTTTTAAGTGTTTTCTCCTTTGACTAAGGAGACTGCAAAGAGCAGTCTTAGAAACAGTAACAAGGAAATCCTGCTCTTCTGGCATTAACCAAAATACATAGAGAAAAGAATTCTTTGTTCCCAAAATTTTTCTTTCACTAGAAAAGAATGATGTACAGAAAATATGCCAGTTATAATGTCTTTATATATTTCCATTGAGTATAGTTTTAATCTTTTATTGGTCTTATCTACCTTCTTTAAAAAAAAGGAATATCTATTTTTTGACACAAATACCTGGGAAATAGTGTTTTATATAAAACTAAATGACATAAGGAGAGTAGTTTTTTTAATGAAGTAGGTGATTGGGCAATTCGAGTTCCTTTCTGCAGGTCCAACCTTATGGCAGATGGTAATGTTGAGTACAGTCTTGAACCAGGAAGCGATACTAGGAAGGCCAAGAAGAGAAGCCAGGGTCAAGAGTAGCTCAGAATGCTGGAAAGGCCCTGGGACAGTAAGGTAGCTGGAAGGCAGATAATAGTACATTTCCTCTAAAGAGCTCAACATGACTTCAGAAATTCTCTCATTTATCTCTTCCACTGCAGTCCTACCCTACCTAAGGTTCTTGAAAGCTGAGGCAGTGAAGCCCAAGCTTTGGCAAGTTGGTAAGTTCTATTGAGCTGGCTCTAGAATTAAGCCTAATGTTGAACCAGGTCTATCATCTGAGGACCAGCATGGATCAATTTTTCTGAAGCTAACTGAAAGAATGGTTACAGAGGAATTAAATTTGGGGTCCATAGCAATTCTTGAAAGTCATATATTACATGCTGGAGGAGTTATGAGCTAGATTGGTAGAATGAATTCCAAGACTGATAAAACTGTACCTACTTGAAATTCTGAAGTATCTCATGTATTCATAGGGAAATACTAAAAAAAATAAAAGAACTAAAGGCAAAAGGAAAAGGTTTAAGATGAAAGTAAGCTTGTAAATTATTCATCAGGCATTCCACAGAGCAAGATCCACAGAGAGTATCCACAGAGAGCATCCACATTTTATAGATGGGGCCAAGGCTCATAGAGAATCAATGTCTTTCCCAAGGCCAGAGAGCGAATCAGTGAAAGCTGAACAAGACACTTAGATCTCATCTCACAGTGTGTTGTCCTACCTAATTTACAACCTACAGCGTTTCCATTTTTCCAAATCAATAAACCACTAAGTTGTATGTCTATTTGGTGATTTTCACTTTTGTCCTCCTCTCCCACCTCAGACAAAGCAAGCCACCAAATACTTATGTGCATCTTTGCATCACCATGTTGTTTGTCAGGGATGTTTACATTCCTTTATGCTTTCTGAATGCCACACTGACTAGAGTGATCAGGTGGTTTACCATTAGAATGTAACGATGTGTGAAGGGCAGTTATCTATCTCTAGCTCACTGGCTCCTATTTCCATGCTCTTAAGATTGTTAGACCATGGTCAGGATTAGACCATGAGTGAGGTGCCTATAGCAGACTAAAAAGCCTGGAATAGTCCCAGATGTCTACTCCAAATTTAGCATAGCTTCATTGCCAGAGGAAATATCATCATTCTTAAACCCAATCCCAGTTAATCTCAAAAGGTTAGGTGAACAGGCTGGGTTTAGGTTACTCAGAAGTAATGGGGTGACACTCTGTATCCTTGGGCTTTGCTAGAATTTTAGGTATGTCTTTGGCCAGACTTACACCATCCAGAGTCACAGCAGAAAAGATGTATAGGGGAGGGGAAGGAGAGGAGGAGAGAGAGAAGAGGGAGAAAGGGAGTGGGAGAAGGTAGAGGGAAAGAGAGCCAACACTGTAAAAATTACAAGGCAGAGAGTGAGGAAAAAGATATAGGGAAGGAGAGAAGAAGAGAGAGAAGAGGGAGACTCGGAGTGGGAGAGGGTAGAAGGAAAGAAAGCCAACATTGTAAAAATTACAAGGCAGAGAGTGAGGAGAAGAATATAGGAAAGACAAGGAGAGAGGCAGAAATAGGAGGAGGGACAGGAAAGGAGATGAGGGAGGAAGAGGGAAAGGGGATGGGGTGAGAGAGAGAAATCAGCTATCACTGAATGTAAAAGTCAATTTCAATTAAGTCAGTATTCTATAGTTTCCAAAAAGGGAGAATGTCATGTGGAATCTTTCATACAAAAGTAACATATTTTGACTACAGTCTTTGAGATAACTATTAAGTTTTGATGTAGTGATGTTTCAAAATTGTATCTTGCTTTCTTATTTCAGCTCTTTACATATCATTAGAAACTGCAAAAAGAGTGATATTATGAATTCATAAGATTTACACAAAGTACCATAAGTAAAATCAGATATTAAATATCATTACATTAAAGAATCAAGAGTAGCCACAAAGAGTTTAAATACTAAATTTATAAGGTATTGCAATACAAATATGCAATAGCATGTCTGCTAAACTGTAGTATAAAAAGACTGCATTTCCATGAAAAAAGAGGCATAACATAAATACCATTCAACATTTATAGCCAATACAAAAATGTCAAAGCTGCATGATTCACATACATTAGTTACCTTCTACCTCAGACTTTTTTTATAGTAAGTAATCCAATTAGGAGAAAGCTTAGTTTATGCATTTCACATGCTGGTAATTAGCTTAATAATGTTAAGAGAGACGTGCTTTTCCCAAAGACCTCCTATTGCTCAGTCCCAATCAATCACATAATAACACATACTATATTGAATAAGTTAATTCTACATTTCAACTTTTCAAAATAAGTTGTGGTTTTCTCAAGTGAATCAAAGCACATGAATGAGGTAAAGAGAATGTAACAATAAAACAATTTTACTGTTGGCACAGAAGATAGAGGCAAATATTTTTTAAAACCTTGGCAATGCAGCAGGTTGAATAAACTACTCATCTATAATACTGGCAGAAATAGCACTTCAATATTGTATTGATATGAAGGATACCAAAGAGAAACAAAATATTCATTTTGGAACAAAGCATCAGCCTACATCTTTTCCCTCTCTACCCTGATTTGCCTTCTTATGATATAATCATTAATTCAACAAACAAATCATATACTTAGCTTATCTTGCCCAGTCTTGACTATCCCCTATCCCTTTTAGTAACCCCTTTCCCATCACTTAAAACAGTATATTTTCTCTACTACTCATAAAATGTCAGACTGACTTTAGAACACAAAACAACCCACCCTCACTCCCACCCCTTGCAATTAAGTGGTGGGTTTGGAGTATATGCAATTTTGCAGAACACACACAGAAATCCTATAGAAATAAACAAGGTTTCTTTGCTAGCAAATAATTCAGAATTGTTCTTTGAAAGCCAACCCTGGTGAAACTACAATTTCAAGATAATACAACATTTATTTTTCATTTCTTTACATAATTTAGGTGACCTATAAATAAGATGGTGATCAAATGAACTGGAAATAAACAATGATTGCACTGTAAGGCTTCCATATTTGAATGATATCCACCCTCTGATTTTTCTTTAAAGTTTGAAGTGAGGGTAGGGGAAGGAAGGCTTGTTTCATTTTCAAATAGAGAAATAAGGGGAAGAGTGGTTTATCCATAAACCCAGGTTTAAACTACAAAATTTGAAAAAATACAGTAGAAAGATGGTTTGAGGATCTCCAAAGAACTATTTGTTTTATCCTCTCACTACTTTAAAGGACTATATTCCTTACTCCAAAAACACAATTACTCTATCACATGCCTATCATATCAAGATGCATTCTACATAATCACAAAAGTCAGACACAATTAAAATGACTGAACAAGAACCATAACACAAATACTTTAGAAATTATAGGATCACAGATATAGAGTGAAAACGGACCTGGATATAATCTACTCTGATCTTTCTGAGGACTGTAAGGCCCATAGAGATGATGTCCTTTGCTAAAGGTCACATGGGTATTACGTAGAAAATCCAGAATTCAAACCCAAATCCAGGGCCCTTTCTATTGGCCAAGTTTATTTCAAATAATTAGAAAGACCACTGGTATTGGGGACACAAAGTAATTGTGAAAATGTTATCTCCCTTAAGGAGAGATGAATAATAGTCCTGCCAGAAAAAACAAGGGATGGAGTGAAGGTCCAACAGCTTTGAGATTTCCTAAAGCTCTTAAGACTATATAGCTATCTCAAGAACAAAAGTACCAAAGCATCAAAGGGTACCTTTCCCTAGATTTTAAATAACTGGGGAGTAAAGATCAAGTCTGTTTTCTTGGATATATTAAGTACCTAGTACAACATTAACATTAAATAGATGTAACTGATCATCAAGATCACTTAATATGAATCAAGTGCCACTGGGTGCATGACACTGTCTGAGCCATTGAAACAGTTCAAAGGAATATATATCAATCTTCATAAAAGACATAAACCTGTGACACACATACTCTGATGGTCAGTAAAAGCTCGCTGCCTAGGACACAAATGTTTAGTCACATAAACATAGATACATAACATTTAACTGCCTTAAATCCTTTTTAAAACGTAAGGAAGCCACTAAAATGTGTTTCCCATTCTTTTGAAAAGTTTGTTTCTATATCTACTCTGCAACATCAAAACCATGAAATAAACACCCTAAAAACTATGGGACTGTAGAAGCTTAAAATAAATCCTACAACTTCTTGAAATAAATTCTCTTTTTAATCATCATTTTTCTACTGCCCCTTCCCCACACCCTGTCCCCCTGGGGAGGGAGGAAGGGAAGATTAACAACAACAACAACAACAACAAACAACAAAACTTGACTAACTTTAAAAAGATGTAAACTAGTCCCAGGATCAGATTTTATTTATTTTTAAAAAATAAAAGCTAGTTTTGTGCGAGTCCTGTAATACTTCATTCAACCATAAGAGGGCAGAGATTCTCAGAATCCCACACTAATATTATTGTTCTTAGCTCACCCAATGAGAGTGCAATCTGAATAGCCAGATGTATATCTAATTCATTTTTAAAGGTGACAAAATAATTAATGGATTTTACAAAATTCTGCTCCTTTCCTTATTATGCACCCTGGTGCAGCCAAAAAAAGAAAAAAAAAAAAAGAGGGGATAAGCCCTACCTTGAGAAACTATGTACAACTTGGTTCTGATTTTCTCAATTTTTTTCTAAAAAATAAATCAAGTAAAAAGAAAGTCTTTTTTTTAAAGCAATTAAACCCCTGGATACTTTTAATAAGTCAAGTATTGAGAGATTTACAAAGACGCATTTCTTTGTAGGATTAAAAAGAGTTGAGGGGTAGGTGGGAAGAGAAGAAACCATTTCTCTCATTTCCTGCTCTAGATTTTCACTCAGTTCTTTCACCGGTCTGTCAATTCACTAACAAGGAAACCATAAGTGGCTTTTTAGTTGTTATGATTACTAAAGTAGCTCAGATGGAGCCAGGGAGCTACTCTAGAGATGGAAACAGTACCACATCATACTGCAGCTCTCTGCACATGACTTGCTTGTATTGGCAACACTAGGAGGATTTATTGGCTTCAAAAAGAATACTTCTCAATGAAATATTTGAGAGGGGGTGGGGGGGGGAAGATTGCCTTTTGGCCAAAAAAAAAAGTTCTCCTCCTGCTAAATGACCACTTCCTTCTGAATCTCTGAAGGTGACACGTCATTTTCAGCGTTTGCCGGTCAACATTTCATCGCTTGTGGTTTCTGATGATCTCAGCCCCTGAAGTCATAATAAGCTTGGCTGATGTCACATGAACTTGGACGCTGCTCCTCTGAATACTCAGGAACTGAAGAGTGCTGGTGTTGTACGTAGCAAGCCCAGTCTACGGCCAGTCCCTGTTGTCACAGTGCACTCAGTATGTTTTCAAAAGAAACATTGAGAAGCAAAAATGAGAAGGAAACAATGGAGCATAATGAAGGTGCTTCAGTGAGCAGTGATGAGAGTTAAACTGCCATACCCACAGTTCCTTTACTAGGATAACATTCAGGGACCTCTCAGTTTCTATCTCAATAAATACCTTTTGACTGACTGTGTTGTCTGATGTTTTCCATAAGGTTAGACAAAAGTACTCAAGACCAAATAAGGAAGTGAGACTTCTGCTACAGTTCTTAGGGCACATTTTGTTATTGCTGATGTGTGAAGTCAAGTATGCTTTCGTCTCATGGGGCTTGAAGCAATGTTTCTAGAGGATATTAAAATGGAGTGATGGTCACCTATTACAAGCTGAACCCCACAGATTTTCACATCACAAATCTCCAAGCAGAATAATAGATCTTATTTTTGATTTTGATTGTCATGCCTAAAAGATTCTCATTACTACATGATGGTTACTACCTTTTAGGACCAGAAGTTGGTTATGTATAAGCTTTTAAGAGAGAAGTTGGCTCATGCAAGACAGATTAAGAATTTGGCTTCCACGGTAGACCAGAAGGGCAACTGACACATTTCTTTGGTCCAGTTTGCTGAAAATACCTTCACAAAAAAATTACTGTTCTCCATCAGCAACATGACTTTTGCGCTGCCTCACTGAGCTTTCAGCCTCCCCATCAGGCACCTGCTGGTCTGGGACATTCCCTGAACCTTCAGGTGCCGATCCTTCATCTACCACCGAGTCCTCTTCAGAGGTCTCATCGTTTGAATTGCTTCTTTCCTCTTCTCGTTCTGAAAGGTCTTCTTTGTCTTCTTCTCCCTCTGAAAGGTCATCTTTCTCCTCCTCTTCATCTGAGAGGTCTTTACTTCCTTCGGAAATTCCTAGATCTTCAACTATAATAACGTCCTTCTCCTTTTCAATCAGCTCTATAAAGAAGAATAGAAGTAAAAAAAGCTTCCACCAAATACCAAATCAGCTTCCAGTCAGCAACCAATCACAAATGTTCAATAATTTTAAAAAAGTAGGTTTCTACAAATTCTGGAGGGACATTCCAGTTTATATATTAACCAGGTGTTTTGTTTGTCCTTATCCCTAATCTTTACCTGAATTTCATTTATTTCAGAGACTTCTAACTGCTATCAAAGACTTACTATGTTTTCTTATGACATTACTCTTATGCTAATTTTAAATACTACAAAAATCATATTTCTATTCTCTTCCTAACATACTTTAAATTCTACAGGACACTCTTATTCTGCCTTAATGAAAATAGTTAAGAGCCAACATAGGACCATAGACTTAGAACTGGAAAGCATCTGAAAAGTCATCTATTCCAACCCTTTCATTTTACAGATAAGGAAACTGATGACCAGAAACCTTAAGTGACTTGTCCAAAGTTGAAGTGAAGATGGCAGAAGGTGTGAGATGTTGTCAACAGCCTGAGGCAATGTATGAGATATAGTAGGTGATTGAAGAGTCAAAGATGACTTTCAAACTTTAAGCTTGGGTGACTAGGATAATGGTAATGTTTTTAAAAGACACAGAGAAATTAAGAGGAGGGAGGCAGAAGATACTGAGTAGAGTTTTGAATATATTAGTTTGAGGTGCTGGTAAGACAAGCTGGTGAAGATTTCTGCCAGTCAATTAGGGATGAGTGATTGAACCTCAAAGGACCTATGAAGGAGGATGCTATTTGCATGCAGAGAAAGAACTGATAAACAGAAGTATGTATAGAATGATTTTATAGCCATCTATAGGGTAGGGCAAGGAGGGAGAGAAGAATAAAAAGAAAAAAGGCACATGGTAATTTTATATATATTTAAAAGGGAAAGCAAGTTGAACACAATAGGTTTGCATGTGCAATCATTGTTTTTTTTCTATTCTACTATGCTATGAAAATACTTGGTTTTATTTCTTAAATTCAGAACAAAAATAAATAAATAAATGACTGAACAGACAGACAGACAGATAGATAGATAAATGGAGGATCAGGCTAGATATAGGTGTCATCTGGGATAACCAGGTAGGGTAGCAGATAGAGTGCTGAACCTGGAATCAGGATGACCTGAGTTCAAATTTGGCCTCAGCTACTTACTAGCTGTATGACCTGGGCTAGTCACTTAACTTCTGCTTGCCTCATCTTTCTCCTCTATAAAATGAAGATAATATCACCCATCTCCCAGGGTTGTTGTGAGATTCAAATGAGATAATATTTGTAAAGTGCTGAGTACAGTGACTAGAACATAGTAGACTATGAGCCATAATGTTAGCTATTAATATTATCTATATGGAAATAACTAAAACCATGAGAACATGCAAAGCCACTAAGGAAGAGTGTAATGAGAAAAGATAAGGGGTCCCAGGATATCTGCCTTGACTGACACCTCCACTTGTAAGACAAAACAAGGATGCACTCGTGCAGGAATGATCAGATAGGCAGAAGGAGAACCAGGATCTCAGGTAGTGTCAAAGAAGCTAAAGAAGGAAAAAGTATATAGGAGGAGGGCTGGGCAATGTTTCTGAATGATGCTCAAAGGTTAAGGATGAGGAAGATTGAGAAAAAAACTCTTTATATTTAGCAATTAAAAGGTCATTGGTGATTTTTGAAAGACCAGTTTCATTAGAGTCATGGGGTCACAAGCTATAAATAAATGTTAAAGAGTGTAAGGAATAAATGAGTGGTGAAAGGTATACTCTTACTAGGCATTTAGCAGTGAAAAGGAAGAGGGGTAAAGGATGACAGCTCCAGGGATGGGCAAAGCCAAAGGATTTTTTTTTTCTTTTAATGGATAGGATAAACTTGAGCCCATTTATAGGCAATGGGGGAGGAACCAGTGGATAAGGGGAGAATGAAGATCAGAAGGCTAGAGGGAATTAGAGTAGATGAGATCAAGAGTACACGTGAGGGTGTCAGCCTTGGTAGAAAGATCTTCCTCCTCTTCTGACACTGGAGCACAAGGAGAAGATGAGTGAAGCCAGAGTTATTCAGAAGTGTGGAGAACTGGATGGAGATCCAAGAAAGATAGAGGTGAGATTTTCTGTTGAGAGGTGGGAGAGGGAGGAGAGGAGTTAGGGCCTTGAGAGATAGGAAAATTAAAACATAAAGGAGAGTGAGAAGTCTAAAGGAAAGATCTAGGCAAAGTGATATTAGGTATAAGAAATCATAGTGGGAGTTGGGGAAAGGAAGGAGATGAAAGAAGAATCACAGAAGGCTTCATGGAAGAGTTGGGCACATGAGCTGGGCTTTGAAGGAAGGGAGAGATTTCAAATCAATGGACATTAAGCATGAAGAATGTCTATTCCAGGTTTAGAGAATGGTGTGAGATGCAGAAATAGGAGAGCATAGAATGAAAACAAGGGATGGAAAGTATTCTAGTTTGGCTGGAATACAGAGTAGAAGAGGAATAGTTTGACATAAAACTGGAAAGGTAGTTTGCAACTAGACTCTGGAGGGCCTTCAAAGCTAGGCTAAGGAGTTTAAATTTTATTCAGCCAGCAGCAGGGGAGCACTAAAAGTTTTTGGATAGTCGTAATTATCAAAGAAACAACATCAAGTGTAGATATTCTTAGACTCATATATCAAGTTTTATCTGAAGTGTTAAGCATATGGTTTAGATAACACTGGAATCAGGAAGACCTAGGTTTAAGTCCTGCCTTGGAACGTACAAATTACATGACCATGAGCAAGTAATTTAATCTTTCTGGGTGCCAGGCAAGAATATAAATTACAGAAGTTCCTAATCAGCATCAGTGAAGGGAATTTTTACACTGCTAGTTTCTGACATGAATATAATCACAGGTCTAGAAAAAAAGAGATTAATATATATTTTTCCTTCTAGGTTCCAAAATTTCAGAAGTCAATTCCATTCTAATTAGTAGGTTTTGTTATCTGTTCTCACAAAAACAAGACTATGCAAACAAAACATAAAATTTGCTCATCAAGTTATGCCCATTATTATGATAAGAATAATGGAAAACCATCTAGAATGGAATAGCTTTTAAACTTTTGGAAGCTATGGAGAAAATGTCCTCCAATATAGTTAAATCTTCAATTAGGAGAAAATATATAAAGATATTCTTTGTTCATAGTGTTTTTTTTTTCTTCTTAAAGATATACCTAGCATAGAAGTGAACAGATTGCTTGATGGTAAAAGGCTCAATTACATTTAAGAAACCAAACAGAAAAGTCTTCATAATGGTACAAATGGGCACCACATCATTCCAAAGACATGGTATACAGTGGCTTACCAGACTGATCTGTTCCAATTCTTGGTTTAGGTGGACAAAAGCAGTCTGCAAGTAAAACCAGTATCTGCAGGAAAAAATAGAAAAGATGTGATTCAAGGTATAAAAGAGATGCATTTAATACCCAAATTACTCAAATTATATACTGCTCCCAAAATACAGGTATATATTTCTAAATAAATGATCAACAGCAAGCAATGGTGAAAGAATATTTAAATATTTTAACAGCCCCTTGGCTTCCCAGTCTCCAATGTCTACCTTCTCCAATAAATACTTCCTATGCATGACTGCTCCAGTAATCTTTCTAAGTCATTGCTCAGATCATAAATTCTCCTGCTTAAATCTATTCAGTGGCTCCCTCCTCATCTATAAAATAAAGTATGAATTCCTTATCCTAACATGGAAGGCTCTCTACAAGCTGGTTCCAACCTACCTTTACAGGCATATTTCACATGCAACATCTTCACTTGTTCTGTGTCCTAGCCAAATTGCTCCCATCCTCCTTTCTTGTCCTGCCCTCTTTTCATGTGTGCCTTTGCTAAAATAATCATGAATTTTTAGAAGACTCCTCCATATCTTTGACTGCTGAACTTTTCTTTCTTCAAGGCCCAATTCAACTGCAATCTCTTCCTGGAAAACTTTCCTAATCCCCTTTACTGTGCAATGACTATCCCTCCTCAAACTTCTTATAGCATTTGGTTTGGATCTTTCCTTTGCATTTAGCACATTCGACTTTATAGTTAGGTGAATACATGTCTAATTTCCATATGGTTCCCTATTGCCCATCAGAAAAAGTCTATACTCCTTCATCTCATAGTCAAGGATCTCCATCTGGTACTACTCTATTTAGCTGATGGAGCTGGTGGTGAAATATATAGAGTACTGAGCTTGGAGTCAGGAAGACCTGAGTTCAAATCTGACCTCACACATTTACTAGCTGTGTGACCCTGGGCAAGTTTCTAAATCTTTCTGCTTCAGTTTTCTTACCTGTAAAATTGGAATAATAATAGCACCTGCCCTCCAGGGTTTGGTGTGACGATCAAATGAATTAATATTTATAAAATGCTTTGCTAAATTTAAAGAGCTAAAACAATGGTAGCTGCCATTATCACTGCTGTTATTGTTACCTTTTTATCCCTAATACTTCATCTCTCCACATATTCTATACATCATTCAAACTGAAATGCTTGCTATCTCTTATCTTGCCCCCTTCACTCATTTTCCTGCATCTGTTCCTTCGATCATGCAGTCCTTTATGTTTGTAATGATCTCTCCATCCCTCAGTCTGTTACTTATCTTTTAGAGCCCAATTCAAATGCCCCTTCCTCTGAGAAGTATTCCCGAATTCCCCAAGTGCAATGATTAAGAATTTCAAAATTCTCCAAATTCATAACCATCATAATTACCAATGAAACTTTTTTCAGAAATTTTATAATTAAGAATTAAAACACAATTCCAAACAAATGGGGAAAGATGACTAATGCTGCAAACTGAATAGCCTTCATAAATTATCTCTTCTTTCTCTGATAATAACATTGCAAATGTTATATTTACATTTACATTACATTTAAGAAACCAAACAGAAGAGTCTTCACAATGGTACAAATGGGCACCACATCATTCCAAAGACATGGTATACATTAGCTTACCAGACTGATCTCTTCCATCTCTTGGTTTAGGTGGACAAAAGCAGTCTGCAAGTAAAACCAATATCTGCAGGAAAATTCTCGTAATTATTGGTTCTATTTTTTTAACTATATCTTCTGTTACTTAGGATTCTGTGTGCTCTTTTGTCATTTCATCATAACCACAATTCCCCCCAAAGAGTAAAATCATTTTTTTTAATCCTTTGTTCACAAGAAACTAGATAGTAGCCTTAGGGCAGGAGCCCAAAGTTAGGAATATGACACTGGAAGTGGGGTCTTGGCAAGTCCCTTAACTTTCTGTGGGGCTTTATCTGTAAAACAGGGTCATGGAGATGATCCTGGATTCTTGAAGGCTATGTCAATGGAGCATGAGCACTGGAAGACTGTACCATACTGGATTAGTTTCAAATAAAGTTTCAGTCAGTGATCCATTTCTTCTTTCCAAAAGCAAGCCTTTTGAAGTATCTCAAAGCATATCACAACACAATAAATTCTTTGTGCACAGCAAATTGTGAAACAAAACAAAAAAAAAAATACAAACTGGTCCTCAGACCTGCACTCTTTTCTGACTCCACTTCTGCAGTGACATTAGCAGAACAGTAGTAAAGGGGGCAGAAGGTCTTAAGAATCACACAACTTTTACCACATATAAGCATTAACTATTCTAACTTCTAAATGTTAGATATTTGTCCAACATCCAAAGAGCTGACATTCTTCAGGGAAAACTGAATTGTATCAGTCAACATTCTTCCTATGTTTGAAACAAGACTCAATGAACAAAGATTTATTAAGTCTCTATTAAGTATCCAACTCCATGTAAGGTTCTGGAAATACAAATACAAAAGTAAGATCATAATTTGTAGAGTTGGTTTTATTATGCTGGGGGATGTGATCATCTTGCATTGCAATGTTCATGATAAGTATTTAGAGGAAACCATCACAAAGATCATTAGAACCTAGTGTCATTTACTTCAGAGAATAAGCAGGGACAGAAATTCTAAAAAGCATTATCCACTCAACATATATTTTAGTACTCAGTGACTTCAACACAAAGGATGTGAAAAACGTGGAAGGATGGTGAAAAATGCGTTCAAAAATACGGTTAAAGAAAATGAAACAAGAAGTCAAAGGCTTGTACATTATTCAAAAGCATCCAGTCCATCTATCCTGAATATAAGTGGGTTGAATGTGGTAGGCATTGAATAATGTCACAGAAAACAAAATTGACCATATAAGAATAGGAAATGGCTGGTTACTGATCTGGAAGCATTTTCTGAATCAGCTGTGTGTAATCAGACCATTGACAGAGAAGACATCAAAATCAATAACAAATAAGAACAAAGAATAAAAATGAGGCTATAGAATGCAATCTATGCACTTTCAAAATGACCTATTCATATGACATGTGGACAACAATAAATGTGAAATAGAAAAAAAAGTCACAGATTGTCATCATTTTCTATGGAAGAATTATGGAATGTAAATTGATTGCTACAATGAGAAAAAAATGATTAAGAAATTACCGCAACCAGCAGACTCTTGAACTCCTGGCCAAACGGACAGACATAACAGCACAGGGCAGCACTAGTTTAGAATATAAACTCTTTTGTACTATGGTGGAAGACTTAAAGTTTTAACTTTATAAAACAGTGAGAAGTAGTGGAAGGACAAAGAAGTTTACAGAAAGCTTGGAGAGACTCGACTAAGCCAGATGATCTTGAGTGCATTTAGGGGTAAAACTGGGAGAACAAAACAAAAAGCAAAACAAAACAAAACAAAAAAGCAGATGAAAAACTGAGAAGATCTATTAAGATTTCTAAGAGTGATAGGCTAGTCTAAGTATATACAGAACAAGTCTGTGCCAGTGGACAAAATCTTTAGGACAATTAAGGACTGATTTTCAAGATTTCTGGAAGACAGGATACTAAAATGCTTGGGAAAAATATAAATCTTATTATTACAGAAAAACAGGTGAATGAGATTCAGATCAACAAGTATAATTCATGTACCTACTTTCCTACCTCTAGAAAAACTTTATGAGAATAATCCAGATATACAGATAGCATCTCTGGAGAAGGTAAGAAAAAGGGACAAGAAGGCTAAATGATGGTCCACAAGAAACTACATTTTTATGCTCACCCAGTTGATTAAGAGGTGAAGAAAATAAATATTTCCATGGTGCTTACTGTTTGATGATCATAAGGTTTAGAAAATCTGATTCAATACAGCAAAGTGTTACCTTAAAGCAAGAGTTCTGAATCTGGAGTCTATGAACTTTTAAAAAATATTTTAAGAATTTTATTTTAATATTACTAGTTTCCTTTGTAATCTTATATATTTTGTTTTATGAATTTAAAAAATTATTCTGAGGAACCCACAGGCTTTAAAATACTGGCAAAGGGGTCTGTGAAACACAAAAGGTTACTAATACTCCGGAGTATTTGTAAAGAATTTGGACTCCTCACTAGCACCAAGGCTAATGAGCAAAAGAATATCTCATATGTCTATGTTCAAATCATACAAGATTCATTTAAAGATGTCAGAATAACTTTGTTTCATGATTCTTTAATTATTAACACCAAGCAGGCATTAAACAGGAGACATATGTTCTCTAAAGGTGTTTGCCACTGAAATGAAGGATGTCTAGCACAGAATTCAAATGGGAAAGGAGTTCCCTAAAGATGATAAAATCCTACAAATGTTCCCATTTGAGGATGATATTGTTCTGATTTCCTCAAGCCCTAGAATAGTGCAGAAGCTTTTGAAAAGAATCAATCCATAGTCACTCAAAAGAATCTGGCCTAACTTTTTACGTAAGTACACACACACATACGTACACGTGTGCACACACACACACATACACACACACACACACACTTTCTCTCTCTCTCTCTCTCTCTCTCTCTCTCTCTCTTTCTCCAAGTAGAAGAAGAATACCTATTGTGCAGATGATGGTATCTGGTAAGAAAGACAACCTAGAAAGCTAATTCATCAAGATCGAACTCATGAAAGCACAGTACGGAAAACAGTAAACTTGGCCCAGAGTTGAATTTGAAAAGAAAAGGCTAGATTGCATCTGGGAAACTGTGCAGTGTTTTTAAGAATCTTGTGCTTCACACTGAAGTAAAGTGCCATCTTTTAAACATAGAGGTGCTTTATGATTGAAAGTAATACAAAACCGGGGCAGCTAGGTGCTGCAGTGGATAGAGCACCAGCCCTGGAGTCAGGAGAACCTGAGTTCAAATCTGTCCTCAGACACTTACTAGCTGTGAGACTCTGGGCAAGTCACTTAACCTCAATTGCCTAAACACACACACACACACACACACACGCACACGCACACGCACATGCACACACACACACACACACACACACAAAGTAATACAAAACCTTAATATCTGAAGAATTAAAGTTGTGGATT